GGCTGCCATATGACACTACTTCTTTAGACCAAGCGATTTTACTTAAATTCGGCGCGTATTACGCTACAATAATGGATTCAGCGGAACGGCGGCGTATCGAAAATAGCGGAACGTCCACGATTGGTCAGATTTTCGATACGCGCGATCCGCGATACGCGCGATACGCTCCATGGGTCTGCACCCTTATTTCAGTGATTTATTTCCAGGAGTACTGGAAAAAAATGGATATTGTTGTAGTTTACATCCACTTTTTCAGAGGGCAGTAGTGCGCGGAGACATTTTGCGGTTACAGGAGAAAGGCCATCATATTCTCTCTCGGATTTCTCTCTGTTAATAGTATCTCGTCGATGGCAATATGGAGGATATGGAGCGATATATGTGCAATACGTGTCATGGACGTCACGGTTGGTCACGGTGTCACCGCCGGTTCCTTCCACGCGTGTATACGTGAAGAGTTTTCGAATATTTCGCTCTTGTAATATTTTGTATCAAGATCAATAAATATGACGGCGTTGACAGTGTTATACAAATTTTGGTCAGAATACACAAAAAATACACCCAAGAAACTGAAAATTATCGATGCATACTTATTGTACGTATTTCTGACGGGTGTTATCCAGTTCGTGTATTGTTGCCTCGTCGGCACTTTTCCCTTCAATAGTTTTCTCAGTGGTTTCATATCCTGTGTATCCTGCTTCATTCTAGGAGGTAATTATATCTGTACTCGTTATACGTTTTTCTTTCCGTACAACTCTTCGACTACAACATCTAACGTACATATACAAATATAATTTACAAATACAGATGCGCATGTACTTTAGCTGTGTTCCAAAATTTATTATCGGTACTGAAAATTTGTAATTTACGTTATGTGCATTGTAAATTTTTAATATTGGCAGTAAATTTTGGTATGCACAGCCTGGGATTCTGTCTTTTTTCACATTGTGTAATTAATACGAATTTCAATATACACCAATCTATTACTTTATAGTTTATCTCATGTTCAAAGTGATTACATTAAAGCTATTATCCTTCTTCACTCATTTGCACAGATAATTGATGATTTTACATTCTCTTTTTCAGTTTGTCTCCGATTGCAAGTTAATCCACAAAATAGAAGTCAATTTCATGGCATAAGCCCAGAAAGAGGATTTGCAGACTTCATTTTTGCACATATTATTTTACACATTGTTATAATGAATTTCATTGGATAAGATATGCAGCTATAGTATACATACATAATAGATCAACAGCATCATTTTCAAAAATAAATTGGGTTTCATATATAAGTATATAACATGTTTTTCTACTGTTATTCTTTGATTTTCATTCAAATATCTTGTAATTGATTAATAAAATTATGAAAATAATATAATTATAACTTTAAACAATTCATTCAGCACATAATTCCTTTTCTATATGATTTTACATTCTAAATATTAAATAAAAAAAAAAGTTTTACGAGCCAAATTGGAGATGGCCCAACGAATAGTGTTACTGGTAAGTAATCTAACAATAAATTGTTAATTTTCCATTTGTCAAATTAAATGACGCGTATAAATTTTAAACATCTCTTTGTACCATATATGAAGAGTAAAGATAGAAATATTTATTGTGCAAAAATACTTCACGCAACATGAAATTACTGGGAAATATTTGTATCGATACAAAATTACAATTGACTCGTTACATTATGTAACATAAATTGTAAGAACATTTACATAGTTGCGTAAAATAAATAAGCAATGTAACTACAACAATCTATAATGTATTTTATTTGTCTTACTATTACTAGTTGTACAATGTCAAGTGTAGAATAGATATTACATTGATGTAGAATAGAAGAGACTTAGGACACCCCATGCTCATATTTATAAAGATCCTAAGAAAAAGTTCGTACTGTATTGTAAAGTTACAGCTTCGAGAAACTCAGGAAAGCATTATTAGACTATCCTTTCACTTGCCAAACTCTAGCCAGATATTATATATATTTCTCAAAACAATATAATATAATAAAGCTCTTTTATTTATATGAAAATATTGATATATTTTCATACATATATTTTATTTACACAGAGGCAATTGACAAGAATAATAAAATTTTTAATTCCTTGAGAAATTTAATGCAGATTATCTGCCTATGAAACGTAATAACTTAAATGTTTTGAAAATAAAACTATTACTAACACTATTATTAATGATAGCTACAATGGAAACCGTGAATTTTGTATACGCCATATACAGAAAGTTGACTTAAATATAAATTGCCTTATGTTTCATTACTTATTATCTATTTATATGCAACTTAGAGATCCATAAAATATATATAAATGGTTCGATGTAAATAAAGCTACTTACAAAGTTTTTAATACAACGATGTATGCATCATTCATAAAATAAGTTTTTCTCGTCTCTTATTGTTAGATGCAGACACATTTCCATAAATCTATCTCCTAATAAATAATTATCATAATACAGGCTGTCCCATGACTGACATAAGTTCTAATAACAGATATATATATTTATATCTTGTATATATTTGTGTGTCAGTATTTTCTGATAAATTTAAAATTAATTTTTTCTTCAGTGATAACATCGAGGTATTTCTCTAAACTAAATACCTGAATTACAAATCATGACGAAGAAATGTTTTATAAACTACGATTTACTTTGCAGGACAAATAAATACACAATTATGTTCTCCAATTAATTTCCGAATAGATTCTGGTAGAACTTTGTGTGTGTGATTTAAAATTTCATATATATTACAAAGATATATAAATTAAAAAATTAAAGAAAAAAAATTCGATTCAAAATTCAGTCAAAGAATCTGTTATTATATTTACAGTTACGAGTTGTGGCACATCCTGGGTATATTTTATATCCTACTAATATATACGGATACATATGTTTTTTCTAATGTATGTTATTTATATGTGAATATAGGTGAATATATTTATGTCAAATTTCATCACACAATCATCAAACTAGAAAAACTGCGAATCTTATTATTAAATTTATACAAATTAATTAAACATGCAGATTGCATTGTTACGGAAATAAATAGTGAATCATAAAATATAAAAATCTTCCATTAAACTAGAAGGAATATCTACTATTATTAGGAATATATATGTGTGTATATAGTATATATTCAATTAGAATAAAATATTAAAATTTATTTATCATTAAAGGCTCGGAAGTTTGTAAAGTCTTACAATAAACTGTTCCTCATTACGATGCAAGCACAAAGTCTACGACAATAGATTTTATTCATATTTAAGTATTTATATATGCAATTATATATTGTTTTCAGGGATGTACGTGTTACTTGTAACGCCGTTACTTTTTATCATTATTTTATTATAATAACGATTTGGTAATAGTGTTGCGAATTTTTTATGGCGATAACGCCAGATTGAAAAAGTCAATAGTTATTTGTAACGAGTCATCCAAATCAAATACGCAAAGAAACAATTTTCCATCAAAACTTGTAAACTTCCGAACCCTTGCTCATTACATATGAAATTAAGTTATATACAAGATTTACAACTTTACTATAATTTACTCTAACTTTCGTCTTTGTGCAAATTATAATTATCAAGTCAAATGTAACAACTAATATAAATTATAAAACGAAACAAACGTCTCCTTGACGTCGTGTAAAAAACGTATCTGTGTTGCTTGAAATATTTGACAAATTAAAAAGTTCTTTTTTTTAATAAATTTTTAGTAGATAATGATGAAAAATACATATCTCAACTTGTTTACAGGCACAAACATAGCATGACTGATTGTATCTTCGAATTAAGAATCTTGCATTTTATGTTCTTTATTCTGGATTAATCACCGATCATTGCGTGCATGTTGCTAATCGTTAAATATATTTTTTATGCAAACAATAACGTTATTTTTTTTATGCAAACATGTCTCTAATAAAGTGTCCTTGTATAAGTAATCACCTCTTTTTATCTCGTAAATTAACAGAGATAGACCTAATAAATATATCAAATTAAACGTTTTTATCTAAACTCCATTGCAAGCATAGTAATCGCTTAAAAAAATTATCCACGTTAGAGATCGGAGGGATATACATCATTTGTGCACATAAAGTAAACAATACGATATAATAAAGTTGTAGCGTTTATTCTGATAAGCATAACGATGTATGTACGATATAACAAAATTATTTTACAAATTATGTAAGTTATTTTGATTTAAAATTTTGCGGACAACTAATACCTTTTCAATTTCGGCCTTGCAATATGATTAACTTTCGACTCTCGCATTGACAATTAACATGTTGTCATTTAATCAATATGAGTAACGAGAGTCGGACGTTTGATACACCGTAGGGCCGAAATTGAAAAGGTATTAGTTACTCGCAAAACATTAAACTGAAATAACTCGTATAATTTGTAAAATAATTTTATTATATCATACATCGGTGTACTCGTTAGAACGAGCGAAACAACTTTTATTATATCGTATTATTTATTTTACTTATAAAAATTATGCATATCCCTCCGTTCTCTAACATAAACAATTTTTCTAAATAATTACTGTACTTGCAATGGAGTTTAGTTAGAATCGTTTAATTTGATATTATATTTATTAGGTCTATCTCTGTTAATTTATAAGATAAAAAAGAGTGGCCGCTTATACGACATCCTGTATCTATTGTATACCACCGGAAATTCGATTATTCGGGCATTATGCATAATGCTCAAATTATGCATAATCAAATTTCCCGTGCCTTTTCTTTTTTAGAAACAACTAACAAAGCTTTAATGAGCACAACTGAATCCATGCTCATTATGAATTGGCACGTGTCACTTCAATTTTTTTATGGCACTAAATACATTCATTATATTAACATTTAGTGTACCTATTTATAACCAAAATACCCTCTCCTGTCCTCTCTTCTCTCTCTCTCTCTCTCTCTCTCTCTCTCTCTCTCTCTCAATCTATAAGTTTATAAAGATTGTTTTACAAATTATGTAAAATATAAAAGAAAAATAGAAAGCTTTAAAACAAAAATTTTAATTCGTTAGAAAGTGGACGACAATGCAGCTTAAGATCTTTCCAAAACCCAATAAGGTTATTTTCTCTCTCTCTCTCTCTAACAATTTTTCTTTCAAAACGCGTGTGTATTACATGTTGCTGTAGGTATTTATCATTAGCATATTTAAATTATGTAAAAATCTTAATATCTTCTATTATAATTTAATCGTCTCATTGTAGCTTTCATCATAACTTGATGGCATTGAGTAATTGGTTCAATACTAATCGTTCATGAGTATATCGTTCACAACCTCTCAATATTCTTAAATGTCATATCTAATCTCTTGACTGCGACTTTAATTTGTTGTTTTCAGAAGGTTAAAGCACTAACTATTAAATACACAGAGATTTTTCGATAGCTCTTGCTATATTTAATAATTAGTCATCAGACAGTCATCATCAAACAGAAAGTATGCACCGCGTTGTATATTCCACGATCTTGTTTCGTATTTGGAAAAAAAAAGAAAAATAAAATGTACAACCTGTCAATTTCATATCAACTACGAAGCTCTGAGTAATTTGAATTCAAAATCATATTAATCAATCTTATTTCTGCTTATATCTAGGATATAGTATTTTCAATATTTTCAGTATTCGTTATCTGCGAATTTGTCGAATCAATCTCAGATTTCCGATGTTTTTCCAAATACCTTCTCCGTGCTGTTAATCGCATATGCTCTTTTCGTCTTTGAAGTATAAGTTCTCTCTCAGCAGATGATTTCGAGAAACGACCACCAAGACTTGAAGGTTCTTCTCCACTATAAAAATAATATATTCACACATACAGATTACCTCATGAGAAATAAAATGTCCTAGAATATCTAAACTATGAGCAAAAACATAACAAAATATGTTCATCTCGATTTACGATTTCAGATTTTCAATAGATTGGTTATTGTATATTTCTTGACGTATAGTAACAAATACAGATAATATTAAGGATATAGCTTAATATATTTATATTCTTAATATTTCAGATCTCCCTTACCTATCGGCAATAGGAATATCGAATCTAGGATCCGATGAATTTTGGATTGAAGAGTTGGGCATAATATTTGTCACGATCGTTTCCATTTGTGGGACGGATTCTTCTTGCGGTTCTTCGATTAAATGGTGTGGTATAGTTAATACCCCATCAAGTATATTCTCAATTGTCCATTCAACCGATCGAGTCATTCTAAGGTCTTCTAGGATTATACTGCGAGGATAATGGGGAAAAAGTAGTTGTACCTAATAAATATATTTGTATTAAATAAATTTTTTCTTTTGCAAGATCTATAAGAAATTTAAAATTGATTTACATTCTTTATACATATACGTAATAAGGTCGACACGCACATACACACATATGTATATGTATATATATTACCTGTCTCGCCATTGCGTCCATCTGGGAATTAGTATGTGTAAATGTAGATATGTTACCACGTAATCTGTTGTGCGAGACTTCGACGGAAAAACTAGGCAACCAAGATACGTATCTCGATGCATCGAGAAAGAGGAAAAAATGATTACTATTTCTTCTCGTAGGAGTCTGTGGCTCAGGAGGTATCTCTAGAGTGTTCTCTCTATGATTCGCTTGCATACTCAAACCCAATCGACATGTGGGACATGATGTGTCCTGTTCTAACCAAGATTGTAAGCACGAGTTGTGAAATAAGTGCGTACAGGGTAATTTACGAGCACTTTCCATCTTCTCCCAACATATGGCACAGTTATCAGAGTTCTCGGCTAACTCATCTTGTGAAGCCATTGGATAACTAAAAATATTGGAACAGTTATTTGTCTCAAAAAAATTATTGATTATTTGTAATTTAACGCGATTACAAAGGAGTTTATAGACTGTTACATATTTAAAAAAATAGAATAAAATGTGAACTTGCAACATTATAAAATGTTATGTGCCTATGATTATTACGATTTATTATTTCCATCAAAAATAGAGCTTAAGAGAAATTATAACTAATATTCGAATTTCCGATGATATTCGGAATTTTCATTAAAACTTGTGTATATGCGCGCGCGTGTGTGTGTGTGTGTGTAAAAGAAAAATGCCCTCAATAAACAAGCTGCAAATATATGACATCCTGTCTCTCTATGGACTTTTAATACGCTATAAAGTACTTAGTGTTTTATAGTTAAATAAAATTTAAAAAAATACACAAGATACCGTAAAAAGGTTACAATAAAATCAAAATAATAAAACAATTGCACCTAATTATGTATAGCATAAATACACGTTACGTACTTCTGCTCCATGTGATTTAGTACAGCCAAATAGTTTCTATGTTTTGTAATTCTCCGTTGTATCTCGTAGAACAGATATCTCAATTGCATACATATTACTAGCGATGCCATGCTCAAAAAGATGTTACTCCACAAAAGCATGTGAACATGATGAAAAAAGTCGACTGCCAGCACAATTAATTCCGAAATCAAATCCGTATAGTAAGTCAATGGACCACGTTTATCCCAAGATCGTTGCGTCGAAGTGCCGGCGCCACGAGTATCATACAGATGAATCAAATAGCGTAACATCACATGAATCGTACGGACTCCAAGTAGAATACACTACAGAACAAATAATTATTACAAAATAAATAATTATTATAAGATAAAGTTTTTATTTTAGACATTATATTTTAGACAGTGTATGACACATTTGATATTTTCCCAATCTTCTTTCAAAAGTGAACTAACAGCTACTTAACTAACAAAGAATTTGAACAATTCACGTAACACACACACACACACACACGCGCGCGCGCGCGCGCGTGCACGTACGGTATGTTTGAAAAATTCTCAGACAAAAATTTAAAAAAAAAATCAACAAATTCAAATATCAGTTTTATTAATATCAGTTTCTACATAGTCCCCTCTTCTTTACAGTGATTGCAGCTATCATAATACTTTCCTTCCGGAAAAGACGATTCCGAAAGAACAGTATTATAATAGCTTCTAATCATTGTACTACTGTTTTATTGAGTGTATCAAAAAGAAAGGAACTATGTAGAAGCCTTGTCTAAGAACTTTTTAACGTGTGTGTGTGTGTGTGTGTGTGTGTGTTACTCGAAATCGAATAGTTTGTAAATAATGACCACAAAATTTATGTCGACAAATAACTAATGCATTGTTACATTGCTTACCTCAGCTGCCATAAAAGCAAAAGTATTGAAAGATATGAAAAAGAAAGCTGCAGCGATGCAGAATAAAAGCATGAAGGAAGATAGCACAAGAATTGCCGTCAACAATACAAGAAGTCGCGCGTGACTCCATCCTGGCGTGGTGGGTGAAAAGGACAGCTAAAAATATAAAAATTATACATTACATTTCTTGAGACATATGATGATACTTGGTCAAAATCGTTGATTATTAAATATGACAAGAAAACATTCCAGAATCAAATGTGCCTTTATTTTAAATTAATATACACACACATCTATATAGCACGCAAAGTCATATGAAAGATATTTCTTTATATTTTCAAGGTTAATTGCCTTCTTTTGGCACGTCTTATATTTTCGCTCTTCGTTATACTCACATATTCAAATCGATCTTTGCAAAGTTGGCTAAGAAGACTCAGGAAGCCAAGCGCCAAAAACCATACACACCAGAGTACAATTTCGTCCATGTATTGTACATTCAAAACTCCAAAAACGAAGATAAACTTGTAAAAAAGGAAATTCCAGAACTTGTCTTTCAAATGATAGTTCTCTGAGGCACGCAGTTCGCCAAATACAAGCTTTTGGATGGTTTTGCCAAGAAGAATCAACATGCAGTAACCTGTGTTGACTAACGTCTGTAAATCATAAAAAAAGAAATTGTAAGGGAGGTATAATAATAAAGTGACATATATTATTAAGTGAAAAATGTAAAATAATTTTAGATATATATATATATTATATATATTTGAAATTTTTTAAGAGAGAAAATTTTATTAATTTTAGGGATATAAAAATGTATTAATTAAAATATAAATTATAAATCTGATTCAATATTTCTCTTTTAGCACTGATGATCGAACTAAATTTTTATATTGAAAAGAAATAAATTATACATTTTAGATTGTCCAATTTATTTATTTTTTATATCTTGTATTAAAAATAATATGAATAGATATTTTCTAACACACGCGCACTTTAAACGGGCGGCAGATAGTTTGAACAAGTGTTGCCTAATCGTTGCGAAATGATAGAAAGGCCATCTAATTTTAAGCTCAAACTTTTCTCTATTTCAATGTCTCTCCAACAAATTTTGAAGTACACCGCAGTTATCCGAGGTGCAGATCGTCAGAAAAGTTTGATATACACATGGATACGAAATGGAAGTTTTTTTCCTTCTTATCGCTATGTCATACGCACGCACACACGCACGCACGCACACACATAACAAAACGAAAAAACATTTGAATCTTCAATAATTTCATTTTGTTGATAAAACAAAATAATTTCTTAAATCTACACAAAATATTTAATTGCAATAGTAGGAAATGATAATATGGTGTGTAACGTCACCCATCTTGAATACCTTTATTGTGTCGTAAAGATAATTTGACAATTAAGCGATAAATATAATTAAAGAACGTTTTACAGTAATTTACAGAACACAACATGACAAGTTTCCGCTTGCTGATAATTACTAAACTTGAAATAATTTTATAACAAATATAACGATCAAAATTTCAGTCTTAAAAGATAATAATCTGGAAAGGGAGACGTAACTCTTTTTTTACTATATATTGTGTTATACAAATGTGCGCAAATTAATGTATTTAACCGCAACGCAGATGCAATTAAGTCCTAGCATGAATATAACGCAACGCAAAAATCAATTTGGAATATTCGTTCAAAAGAAACAATCGTCAAGCAAATCACGCGATAGTTGCATAATTTGCCTGCAGACGATTGTATGTACACGACAATTGTAACGAGACACGTAATGTCATAAGAGAGAAAAGTAACGCGTTCTGCCACCAACTGGTATGACGGATGTTAATTTCCTGTTTTAAAAAAAATGTATATTCTTCAAGTATAGCATAAACGGGACTATTTAATCTATATATTTGATTTGATCGCGATCGAAAATTTATTACGTTAAATTATTATTAAACAATCCATACAACAACGCATCTTGGTCCAATTTATCATCAACTTGATTATCTCATCAATTTGTTATCATTGTTTTTTTTTCTCGCTTTAACTCGCTAATAAGACAGATGGTCATTCTATCAAATACAGATATTATAGATGACAAGAAGATTCGACAAGGCAAACTTGGAAATTATTATACTTTATAGCTAATTGTAAAAGATAGTAGATTACATAAAGAACCATATAAAACAACGCCATCTACTCTTCAATGTTCCTGACACACTAACAGGTTTTTTAAAAGTGCAACGAAAAACTCGTCGATATGATAATATCGAAAGGGAATTTAAATATGCATAAAGCTTACGTATTATATAGAGTTTATTATACTCTTAACTAAACAGTTCTACATTCATCTACTTTGAATAAACGTACCCAAACACAGACAGGTTCCATCACCATACATTCCAAGAGTTCTTTAAGATGCGTGCCAAGACTTCTCGGATCAGTCGGATCGATGTCGCCTCCAGAATGGAGTCCGACATCGACATGCGTATGATTCGTTTTCCAAGCAGGATCCTTGATTATTTGAGTGGCATAGTATATAGAAAAGGAAAGTATGACGACGCTTATGGTGACATACACTCGAAGATTCGGAATTGGTAACCGCCCCAAAAATTCCATCGGCATGATTGGAAGAATTTCGGAATTTCCTCTTGTGTGTTGAAACACTTGTTAAATCTGCAATCAAATTTTAGTTGCAGCTCGTAGCTAAACACTTATTTTCTTTGCAATCAAGTATCGTTACAAGTTTTTACTAGATCCTAATCTTTCAAATCTTATAATCTAAAAAAAGAACCAAACAACAAAGTAATAAAATCTACATTGAAAAAATAATGTTCTGTTATACTATCACGGAAATTTAACACGGCAAACGCATGACGTTTTCAATAACGCATATATTTAAATCAATGAGATTTGCGTAAAACCGTTTATCGCATCGTTTCGCATCGTTCAATATCGATGATATTGACAAAATAACATTGGAATGAAGCTTCGCATTAATGTATACTTATAACGACGGTGATTTTCGAAGTTTCAAGAAATAAAAATGCAGGTGCGTTTTGTAAAAACGTTTAAAAACGTAAGTAAGGTATAATCTCGAGGTAAAACAATGCGGCAATCGTGACTCAACGCATATCTATCTGCGCTGCATAGTTGCACGATATCGAATGCGACAAATCCACGTTGATCGTTTCGGCTCTGCATCACCCTGCATATCGCCACGTACGTATATAATGCGCGTCGCGCATACGCCAGCCGTGCGACGTTATAACAGCAATTGTACACGGCAGTGTTGTATATGTATGTATAATAGTACGATGAGGCACAACGTTCGGTGCTCCACATTCTGATGTTTATCAAAGTAAGCGTACTCCTCGTGATGAAAAAAAGGGGGAAGAAACGAATTCGTTTCAAAGACGAGATTCGAAAAATCTATTTGTGCCAACCTCTCTCTCTCTCTTTCTCTCTTTCTCTCTCTCAACTAATCCGGTGAATAACGATAACGATGGAGTTTTCACCGAAACGATACGATGTTGTACGTCGTACGATATTAGGTTGCGGTAGTCACGTAACGATACGCAATACTTTAGTCGCGACTAACTACTACCAATTTATACATCCTAGTTGACGATACGAGTTTGATACATCGGCTGTATTTTGACGTTTAAGCTTAAAACCGTCTTCCCGGGAAAATAAACAATTACTGTTCGTTGTATCAGGCGTTGTTCAAATCTGTCATATAGTATAAATGATAAAAATATTACTTGTTAAATATATCTTGTCTCCGAATGTTTTGATCTGACGATAACGTGACCTAAAAGCTGGTCGTGAATAGCAATAGTAGTAATAAGATGAAAAAGTAATCGACGGAAAACATAAGGCCTGCTGACAGTGCCAATTCGGAAGTAAATTTCAAATCTCCAAGTCGATTTAAATTTTGATTGACCTAGATTGAACACGGTTCTCGAAATATAACATGCGAGAAATTGAAACTGAATAAATTATGAATTATACTATTGAATTATACAACTGAATTATGAATTATACTCTCTGCCAAACACATTCATAAAGTTTCCCGGGAAAAAATGAAGAAGATTTCATTATATATGTGTGGATCAAATTAGATCAAATAAGATCAAATTGTATCCGATGAGATTTAGTTTTTAGATATAATCAGATCTTCAGAAATCTAGCTTGGCCTCACATGATTGATGTTATATCCATTAAGATCTAAATAGATAATTTGCGATATAAATAAAATGCTATATTGAATATAAAGAAAGCATATTGTAGATCTACGAGAATATATTGATATATATGAATATTTAACTTTACACAATGAAACTAAATGTAATAAATATTAGATCTACAGAGATATAATAATATCAAAGAAGATATACATATATATATATATATGTACAAGTGTAATCTAATAAAAATTGGCGTACATATCTAACAGAGATCTACAGAAATATAATATCAAAATAGATCTACAATCTTGGCCAAAGGTATAAGGCAGTAAGGCACAATTGCAATTTTGTCGCATTTTACGAAAAGTTAAGTATCTTGACGAAAAAAAAATCTCAGAGGTTTTCAACCACGCATTTTAAAGCTTAAAAATATATTATATCTAATGAGATAAATGTTTATATATTAGGATACAAATAGATCAAAGTATATCTACATCGATCTACTTTGATCAGGTCAAAATGAAGATCTCTTAAGATCTCTTTTTAGATCTAATGAGATCTACATACATATAGTGAAATCTTCATTTGTTCCCGGGTACCGTCAACATGCTTTTTACTTGGTATTTGCACAAATAGCAATCGATCTCTCGCGTAGCGACATTATTTCAGAATAATTCGAGGAGCAGAGAAAAGGAAGAATGTATAATGAAAGATCCCGCATATACTGATACACACGTGTTGTCTATCACATGGCCTTATCGTACTTTTCGACGGCAAGGTCTAACGACTCTAACGATAGACGATTAAACGCGGCCGTTATCGCGTAATTAGTCGCGAATTTGAAAATTTAAAGCACACGACGAGGAAGTAGTTAGGTTACGCTGCGAAGGTCGAGTACGGATCAGCAGATTGAAAAAACGGAAAGAGAAATTTCCTTTGGAACGAAATATTCCCGCTTTTGGAGACTTTGAATAAGTTTCAAGCGTGGTGGATCCTCTCTATCTACGCCAAACATTGATCGACAGATCGCGCCGCGCCGGTCGCGCGAGTCACGGATAGAAAGCGCCTTTCACGCGGCAAAGTCGGCAAAAGGGTTAAGGCATCACAAATTGCCACAAATGCTGCAGCTGCTACTTGCTGCTACTAGCTGCTAGTGATAAATTGATAACATTTCCCATCTTTTCTTTGCTCTCTCTCTCTCTCTCTCTCTCTCTCTCTCTCTCTCTCCTGACATTTGATTCAATCACAATTCGTTTCGGCCACGTTTCTTCCTAGCTAGCCTAGGTGCTTCTATACTTATTGACAAAAGGTATACAATAGTACGTGTACATACAACGTGACTCTCGTCACGTGTAATATCTTTAGTGTAATATTTTCTGCATATATCTTTATATCGCAAGTAAATTATAACATGTGCGCTTGTTTATTAACGTCAAGATAAATTGCCATCTATAAGTACTTATGTAAATAAAAAGATGTCTTTGTCATAAAAAGTATCACGTCTGGTGCATTCATAACTTGCAACAAGACGGCCGGTCTTTGGGCACGTCACGAGTATTTCAACGCGATGCTCGCAGAGACGAGACAGAAAATCAATGCAACTTAATCATCGGCCGTAACCGGCTTGGCAAAAGCAAGAAAGGATGGAGAGAATCAGGAGTAAGTAGGAGTATAAGGCACTACAAGGTGCTAAATGGGAGAGGGAGCGGCATCGCCAATCGCGCCGATTGATGCTGATAATGGCACTTGTGCTACGGTAAATACTTGTGTCAAATGTCAAAATCTGACGATACCATTGCGAGAATGAGAAAAAGGAGGACCACGCGGTGGCCGCGTCGCAAGGGAACGATATCAACGAGCAAGATGCACCTGGATGCACCGGACCACCGGAGCCGGGGGTAGATGGGAAAGAGGAGAGAAAGAGAGAACAGCGTTTATTCAATCTATTGGCGACACATGACGACTGACGTACTTACGCACGAGCAAATGTCCGTTTCAAGCGTTTCCCGAGGCTCGCCTTGTGCGTCTCGAGGGTTACATCTACATCATAAACGTCCCGCGAAATCTCGAAAGGAAGACCTCCAAGACTGACGCAATACGGACGCGCTGCAGCATCGATTAGCACGGACGGTGAAGCGAACAATCTCTTTCTCTCTCTCTCTCTCTCTCTCCCT